TGCCTCTCTGCCTACTTTTGATCTCTGTCTGTCAAACAGATAAACAAAAATCTTTAAAATATATATATATATATAAGAAAAACATTAAAAAATATATACAAGTATGATGTAATGTTGAATATGTCTTTTTTAAAGATTTTTATTTATTTATTTATTTGACAGAGATCACAAGTAGGCAGAGAGGCAGGCAGAGAGAGAGGAGGAAGCAGACTCCCCGCTGAGCAGAGAGCCCGATGTGGGGCTCGATCCCAGGACCCTGGGATCATGACCTGAGCCAAAGGCAGAGGCTTTAATCCACTGAGCCACCCAGGCGCCCCTTGAATATGTCTTTTTAACCTACACATGCAGATACAGAGATGTGTACACACTTCCCTAGGGAAGAGACCCCGTTGGGAGGAGACTTAATGGTTTATAGTCTAGTGGGGTGGATAGACACAAACTGACACGTTCTGTGATGAGTCCAAAATGAGAACTTTGGGGAAGGGACTTTAACCCCAACTTGGAAGGGAGAGGAAGGTATGGAAATTAGAAAGGACAGAGGCCAGAGATGATAGGAAGGAAACTTCGAGTAGTCTAGTTTGGCTGGTGGCTGCAGTACGCTGTTGGCAAGGGATGGACGACCTCTATTCCCCGAATGCACGAGGCCAACGGCTTCCCGCAAAGAAACATAACACAGTAAAGACAGTGTGCTTGCTGTGCCAGCGTAGCTGCGTGATACAAGTTTTCTAGTCCCACTCATCATCAACACAGTAATTTAAAGGTCATATACAATATAACTCAGGGAGGCACCGTGAACAATGGAACCTGGTATGCAGTATTAGTCTTACCAGTGAGTCAGCAGCCCTCCCAGGTGAGGTCACTTGTCCCATCTGTACACTGAATAGTTGACCCTTCCCTAGATGATCTTTAAGGTCCCTCTTGGCTCTGAAGTTAGGAAGGATCCCACCATGCATACAGTACTAGAGGAAGTTTATAAACCTCCACGAAGGCCCAGGCTGATCAACAACTAACCCTATTCAATCATTTCATAAAGACAACATGATCTCACAACAATGTTTCCTAACTCTCAGCTCATAAAGAATTTTGATTAGCAAGCAGTGGTCTAATGGATAAAATATAGTCGGCTACAAGTTAGGAAATCAGAGCCTTTTCTCAGGCTCCTATAAAAGGACACAAATGAGGAAATTTCATTTAATGACAGGTTTTCAACTCACTCTTCTCATCTATACTCCTAGAAGGAAAATCTATGAGATATGCAAAGTGAGGGGTACCTGGCTGGCTCAGTCAGAAGAGCATCTTGATCTCCAGGTTGTGAGTTTGAGCCCCACGTTGGGTGTAGAGATTACTTAAATAAACTTAAAAAAAAAAAAAAAAGAGAGAGAGAGAGAGATGCAAAGTGATGATAAAGACAGTAAGTACAAATGGAGAAAATCACTTTTTTTTTAAGACTGCACAGAAATTTCACCACCAATGATCAATTTTAAATTAGCTCCCTGAATCAATCACAAATCTCACAATGGGATTCCCTGGGTTTCAGGCTTCTCTGTGGTTCTTCAGCCATGCTATCATGGAAGGTGGGATGCCAGCAGCATCACATGTTAAGGTCACAGAATTGCTTGGGTGCCTGGGTGGCTCAGTGGGTTAAGCCTCTGCCGTCAGCTCAGGTCATGATCTCAGGGTCCTGGGATCGAGCCCTGCATCAGGCTCTCTGCTCAGCGGGGAGCCTTCTTACCCCCTTTCTCTCTGCCTGCCTCTCTGCCTACTTGTGATCTCTGTCTGTCAAATAAATAAATAAAATCTTTTTAAAAAAAGGTCACACAACTGGTGACTGTCTCAACAGCCACTTCTTAGGCCCTTCAATACAGGAAACATACATACATGCATACATACATAGAAATTAGCTCCAAGACTCAGTCGCAAATCTCACAATAGAGGCATGGGGCTTCAGACCTCACTAGGCATCACAATCACTGAGGCCTCCTCCTGAAAGCAGGTCACTTCGGGGACCTTTCTACTGAGATTTTTAACTCGCCTGGAGCTGCTACCTTCATAAGCAACTCAGGACACTCCCAAGTTAGGTGGTCATGAGACCCATACAGATCAGGCACTGTGCTAGGCACTGGGAATTACAGAAGAAAAGACAAATGAGGTTCCTGCCCTCATACTGACATGCCCTCTTACCACTCTCCATACCTACCTGTTAAATTTACTGTGGTTGGGGCGCCTGGGTGGCTCAGTGGGTTGGGGCCCCTGCCTTCGGCTCAGGTCATGATCTCAGGGTCCTGGGATCGAGCCCCGCATTGGGCTCTCTGCTCAGCAGGGAGCCTGCTTCCCCCTCTCTCTCTGCCTGCCTCTCTGCCTACTTGTGATCTCTATCTGTCAAATAAATAAATAAAATCTTAAGAAGAATTTACTGCGGTTGCTCGGTCAGTCCTGCAGCCCCTAACGCCCCAGTGATTGCACTGGAGGACGGCTCTGGGACACAAGCAGCAGAAATGACGGAAAGGAAGGCACAAGTATTTGTTTCTTAAATACTAGCCCTCCAAGAGATTCTGCAGCTGGAATTAAAGGCTTTCTCAGTCTTCAAGAAGCAGTGCAGAATACACCCTAGAGGTGTCTCCTACCAGGTACGGTTTGAGGTATGGGAGGGTATGAGTAGGCAAAGGCTTCCCAGAGGAAGTCCTGTCAAGGTAAACATCTCCACAAGCCCGATTAACCAAAAGGCAATGTCCCCAGTAAGAACATCCTATAGGGACATCCCTGCTGGACATCCAGGCACCCTGCTATCTTCCTGAAAGGGGTGGTATCATCTCCTGCCCTAGGGTAGAATCTAGAGGGCTGTGCCAGGCATTTGAGACCTTCAAATATACTTTGGCCTCTGCCTCCCCTACCTGGCTCCTGTGATGCCCTGAATACACTTTCCCTCCTTCTCAGACTTGGTCAGATAGTCTTCTCCTGCTGGTATCCCCTGTGCCTTCTCTTTCTACACATTTTTCTGAGCCCAGTTCAAATGCTACTCCTCCAGAAACTGGGACCCTCTTGGCAAGGACGACCTTCGTCCTCTGAATTCTTTCGCACGGTCCTTAGGTACTTTTCCTACAATTAGAAGTGCTTTTTTTCACTACATTAACTTACCTTCCAAGTAGGATGTGCCGCTCAAGGATAAAGACTGTTTTTGGTTTGTTTAACATCCTTTCTCAGAACATAGCACAGTGCCTCAGTAAGTATGGGCAGACTGCCTCAACAGGAAGTTTGTATTCGATCTGGGAATTCACTGTAGTTTGCTGTATTATTTTAACGCATTAGTTGATTACAAATCTACTCCAAAGGCCACGCTAATGAAACCAGAAACAACTTTCTGATATGAACCTAAAAGTCAAGGTATTACTCATCCATCTACAATATTTTATATGCTTGTTTTAGAAGGGCCTGAGGGAGAGATGTATGTTTTAACTTCCACCCCTTCCATAACTACTCCACCTCCTCTGCCTCGCCCAGCTCTATCCAGAACCACTTTGGCCTTTTAGGTGTCCCTAAGACTTTCATTTCCAAATCCTTTCCATTCTTATCCCCCTTCTTATATTTTTTTCAGGCCAGAGGAGGCAGATCTTTTCACAACTCCAGTGGTAAGGTGTACCGCTCGGGCAATTTCAGGAACTCCAAGGCTGCCTTAATATGCACAGTGACTATCCTGAGTACTCATGAGCTGAACACACTTGTAATACAAGACCTGGGATACTTAGGTAAGTTTCAACTATCAGTTTCCTGTTCAAACACAGAGACTCTATTTTCTGATTTCTAAATGGATCTGTTTTCCTGCTTTTTCTAAAATACAATGGATTTTAATGTTTTGCTGACCTTTACTTACAGAGAAGGGAGAACATTTATTGAGCACCCTTAGGTGTTTAAGCACTGGGCCCGATACTTAAATTATGGACATCATCTTATCCTCGTGACTACTTTAGGAGACACAAAGTTCCATTTTACAGATGAAAAACTGAGGTCAAGAGACCTTAAGTGATTTCCCCAAAATCATGCAGTGAAGCTGTGGGACTGGGATTTTACTGCTGGTCCTTTTTTAATACAAAGCTCATGCCCTTTTAGTTATATCATGCTGTATCCTTAAATAAAATCCAGTTCATTCTGACAACTCTGTCTTCCAATTCAAAACAGAGATCACTAAAAAGATATAACCGCAGGAAAAGGAACCTTTTACATTCCTCAGTTAAAGGAGCACCACTGCGCCACCAGGACCACCATCTTTGATCTCAGGATCTCCATTGTTGGCTTAATTTTCCTAAAGAGCACTGAATGGACTCAATATCAAGTATTACCTGCCCAACCATTATAGCAGCCCTTCACACCATCACATAATCACCATAATAACCAACTATATAAAGAAAAAAAAACACCTTACAGCCTAATATGTATCACTTGCACACTTTGTACAAGTTAGGTACATGGTAAAGTGGAGCAAAAATAGAAATTTCCAGATTTCACCAAGATGTCAAGTTTCACATTTTGACAAAATGTAACTGAACTGGCAAAAAATGGTTAAAGCAAATAACCAAATAATAGAGGATAAAAGTATCCTATAACCAAGTAAACACCTGTTCGTCTTTCCCCTTTAAGAATTTTAAATAAGGTCACATTTTTCATTCAACAAACATTTATTGAGCACCAGCAACTGTGCTAAGTGCTAAGGAATATTAACTGTGAACAAGATAAACCAGGTTCCCGCTTTTGACCGGATACTTCTGCTTTTGCTGATCTTGCTAACTACTACATAATACTTGTTCTCTGCTAGAATTACATTTTCGGGAAAGTCAGAGTCATACGAGGCCTCTTCTAGAATACTTTAAAAGTTTCTGTATGGCAAACTTGATAGAAATCTTTAACTTTGAGAAGAAAACGATGGTCTCGAGCATCCTTTTCGACAAGCACGTGGAAGGTCAAGTTAGCTCTCAAGTAACATGGCAGCTGGTGGCCAACGGCGAGGTTCAGACCATTCGGTTGCGCTTGTGGGTGGGGGAGTCTGTGACACTATCCCCGCACTGGGCCGAGGTGCGCTTGCGGGTCCCCCCACTGTCCAGGCGGAGGGCCGGTTCTTCTGAGTTGAAGGGGTTCAAGTCGTCCTCCAGGAAGCTACTTTTTCGGCGCCCACCTCCAGGGCCACTGGTGGGGACGCCATTGGTGGCCCCGCCGCTGGCTTGAGGCGGGGAGCCAGGGGCGCCAGATCTCACGCTGATGCTCTCCATGGCACCGCTGAGGCCATGCAAGGCGATGGCCTCATGGAAGGGCTGCAGGTCGACGTCTACGGACGAACCGGCCCCGGTGGCTGCGGCCTGGCCGGCGGCCGCGACGGACAGCTTCGGCGGCGTCCTGGGGGTGCGCGACGGTGGAGGTGCGGGGGGCACCTTGCCACACAGGAAGCTGATCAGGTCTTCGCGGAGAATGGTGCTCCGGCCCTTCTTCACCCACTCCAGGACATCTCTGATGCGACGCTGGTAGCCGACCTGGACGCCCAGGTCAAAACTTCGTTGGTGGGCATCCCCGCTCTCTTTGTAGAGACTGGTCACGGCCATGGCCGCGTTCTGGAAGGGGTCCCAGATGGACAGTTCTGGCTGTTGGCACCCGGCATCCTTGTAGAGCTGGGCCACGGCCGTGGCAGAGATCTGGAAGAGGTGCCACAGCCTCTGCCGCTCGCTCTTGAGCCCCGCTGCCTCCGCGGCCGCCTCCTCCTGCAGCTCGGGGGGCAGCTGCTCCCCCTGCTCGGCCTCGGCCAGGCACTGGCGTTCCCACTTGGAAAACCAGTGCTCCGCCACCTCGGCCTCGCCCTCCTTCGGCTGCTCCTCCATCCTCCTCCTCCTGGCCGCTCGTCTCCTCCACCGCCGCCTCCTCCTCCGCCTACTCTTGCTCCTCCACCTCCACCTCACCTCCTGCTCCGCGCTCCCCTCCTCCTTCTGCGGCCGCCGCCGCCTCCTCCGCGTGCGCCGGCGGGCGGTCGCGCGGGCGGCGGGGCCCTGAGGCCAACTGTTCCGGCGCGCGCCGCCCGCGGCCCTGGTGCACGCCCCGCCCCGCCCCGCCCGGCCCGGCCCCCAGCTACGCCGCGGAGATAACTCCGCAGCCGCCGGCGCCGCCTTGCTGCCCCCTTCCGGCCCCGCCGTCCGCTCCTAGGGCCCCCCCACGGCGCCGCGGCCTCCCCGCAACCGCAGCCGCCGCCGCCGCCGCTTCAGCCACGGTCCCGCGGCTCGGCCCCAGCCCCCCGCTCCGCCGCGGCTGCCGCACCAAGAACTCGGAGGGGGACCGGCTGGAGCGCTGCCTCAACGCGGCGCTTGCCTACCACTTGGCCCTCTTTTCACACATTTTTTGAGACTTGTCGGCTTCATCCAATGAGCTGATCAAATTTTACATCCTATGTTGCCAGAGAGGATTATGGGGCAACTTCATGGTGTCGATCACATCCAGGGCGCCGATCCGGGAAGGCCGGGGGTGGGGGTGTGGGGGGGTGTGGGGTGGGTAGAGTGGAAGGAGCTTGACCCCCGCGAAGAGGCAGGCAGTCTGAATCCCAGCAATGCCCTCTACACAGTAGGTACCCAAGAAAAGTGTTTTCCGCCGAGCGTCGCAGTATTTTGTAGAGGAAAAAAAAAATCCTATAACTCTGTCCCCTTCCTCCCTCCCCCCACCACGTTTCCTGGGCCTCAGTTTCCCCAAGTGCCAAATGAGGTGGCCGGATTAAGTCTCTGGAAAGCACTTACAGCCGTGATTTAGAACTTTCCTGCTGTCGCTGCAAATCATCTCTTCTAGGCTAGTGGCATACTTATCAAATCTAAGAGTCATGTCAGACATGGTAATGATTTTTTCCCCTCAGTATCCTTGCAAGGTTTTTGTCTTTTAAAAAAAAAATGGGTTGGGGTTCTCTGTGGTCTCCCCTCAACTACTGAAAATTCCAAGATGAAGAAGTAAGGGGAGAGAAAATAGGAAAATGAAATCCCAAACACGGTATTCTTCGCTCTAGTGTAAAAATTCACTGTCTTTAGGAAAGGGGGAAAAAAAGCTTACCTAATCCAACACCCTAAAAATTATAGCTAGGCAAAACATCTTAATAATACCAAAATTAAGCTAAACCTATGTGATACTAAAGTCTTTTCCTTGGGTTGGACAACAACCCTCCTCTCCTGTCATGATGCAGTTCTTTTTCAGTGCAGACAGTTAGAGAGCAAACTGTGTTAAGAGAAGAAAAATTATCACTGAGCTAAGAATAACATAAAAAATGGGAGGAACTAACATGTAATAGTCTTTTAAATTTAGGGAAAAAGTTAGAATTTCACAGTTTTGGTTGTAGACAATACTAGCCAGGTCTCTGTAAAGCCTTACAAAAATAAAGGAAGCGAAATCTTCTAACAAAATCTGTTTAATAATTCCCAAACATGAAAATTAGTATATAAAATAAAATGATCTAATCATTAAGCTTTATCATCTTCCTTAAAAGAAATACATGTTTCTAAGTTAAATCTAAAAGAGAAGAAGAAGAAGAAAGGGGATTGTGCCCTTTCTCTGCAAACCAGGCTTTTTCACGATTCATTAAACCCTTTTTCCATATGTGTAATTGGACTCTTCTCATTTACATAAACGAGGGATGGGGCAAAAGACCTAAGATCAGCCCAAAAGGAGAAATACATTTCTCATTCTCCAGTGTTAAAAAAATATATTGTAGAAAACTCCAAGAAGGCAGATCCCCTTCCTCCCCCACACACCCACATACACCAGCCCTGAAATAGTTCATGGCCAAGGAGATACTGAGTTTGCCAGAGCTTTGGGGGTTGCTCTGCACACAGTGCCTCACAGTTATTATCAGAGGCACATGTTTTTAGTTTATTTTCTCTACGTAAAAAGCTTGGGCTGAAATGACTGACAGTAGGACACGATATCCTATTTTCTCCCCTCATTTTTGATTGGGTTAAAAACCAAGAAGAAAGACGGCGCTGTCTTTGAAAGAGCACAACCCTCTGCTTGGGCTTGAGTTGCCTGGCCGGTATCCTCCATTCAGTTGGTCTCAGCACCTGATTAATTAGTTAATTAGTACTTAGAGCTGACTAGCCCAGTCGGCAATTTTCATGCCCTGCATGGTGAAATGTTGAATCCAGCATTGAAATTTCTGTGTCGCACACCCTTATTATTGTCACCCCACTACTTTTAAAACCATTGCACCAAATTATTATAATAGACAGAGCCAGACAAGTGTGTGGGAATATGTTCTTTCTGAGAAATAATGGTAGACTTCTAATATTTTTCACTATTGCCCTTAACACATTTAAATAAAACAATGAATGGGAAAAATTCTAATTCAATTAGCCTCCAATTCCCTCCATAGAGAAAATGGTTTTCTATGGGAGACACAGTAGAAAAATCATGGCCAACGTTTTTAATGTTTTCTCAGTTCTTTGGGTGGCAAAGAGTACATTTACAAGATCTCCTCTCTGAGATTAATCTTGTTCCCATAAAAGTCTAAACCGTCAGGAATAAAAAATCAGAATAGAAAATAGAAACAATATAAAACCAAAAAAGCCCTAAGATCATTTTAACTAGGAAATGATGCTCTGTGTGTGTGTTTGAGGTGGGGTGGGGAGGATTTTGATGTTTAAAAATACTGTACTGCCATGGTTTAGGAATGAGTTTTCTATGGGAAAAAATATTCCTTGGCTGCTGCCTCATTCTTCCATAAATTTGATGTCATAGCTAAGGTTAAATATCAACTAGGGAAAAATAGTTTTAGAAAGTAAGTTAGGACACAAACCTAGGGGAATCTAATTGTTTGACATTTCTCAGTGCACCAGTACCAAAAAGGGCCTCAGTGTGTCAATGATTTTCAGTATTATTGGTAGCTATTTTCACCTGAAACAATCCTTATATATCTGTAGTGGGTTGCCTGTAATTGTAAGAGCTAAATGGTACACAGAACTGGATACACAACCACACAGATCAGTAAATGGGTCGGACTGAAAGCAAAAGTAAACACCAACCTTAGGAAATGAAAGAAGTTAAAAGATAAGTGTTAAGGACCTTATTCTTTTTGGAGAATAAAACAAGATTTAGTAGCTTTCCACTTAATTTAAATGAAAAGAATCACTACCTTACATATTGCAGTGATAATGTAATGGGGAAAGAAAACAAAAAAGTCTTTGTACAAATGACACCTCCTATAGTTGTTGTGAAGAAACTTTTCCCCTTGGTATCTGCTAACAAATTCTAATTAATGCTGCACATTCCTTTACTGAAATCATTTAATGCGTAACAAGGGGGGTAAAAAGAAATGCTGAATGCTCGTGATTGCCCTGTTAGAATTATGGGAGTGAAAGCCTGGGGCCCCAAACTTACTGTCTATTAAAGCCAAGCTTTGAAAAAGAAATGCAACCTACAAAAGCTGTCAATCTCCCTTGCCCCTAAAGCCTGGGTTCACATGGATTCAAGTGACAGCCCTCCTCCCCCATGCACAATACATCAATCTGTCTCTCCCACAAGCACCCACAGCCCATTGTGCTGGCCGCAGGTGCCTATTATGGCACCCATGGCTGCCTCCCACAGCTCCGCCCCTGAGAAACAGGAACTGCAGACAATGGAGCCCTGTGGGAAGACAGAGGTGGGTGTTGGGAGGGATAACAGACAGATGGTAAAGGGTATAGGGTAGTAAGGTAGTTTCAAAACAAATGTCAAACATTCAGAATTATTGCTTTCTCGTGTCTCCCCTTTTGAATTGCCTTTGCTTCAATCACCATCTGCCATAAGTATAAAAACACTTACCTGTTATGATGAATTTTTGCTCCCCTTTTTGGGTAGTGGTGGACCAGATAACCTTCAATACTCTACTCCTCCTACTTCGCCTCTAGGTTTCTCAAGGTCACAGACTGAGGAGTTTTGGTTAAGTGACACCAGGAGACCACAGAGGGGAGATAAGGAATATTTCTAATTTTTTTTCAAGGTTTGTGGTTTCCCTGTGAGCTTAGTTTTGGGCTCCTTAAGGGGCGTGGGTTATAAAAATCAGTTCCTTTGGGTAATACACTTAGGAAATCAAAGTAATATAAGACTTTTACAAATGTAATATCAGGCAGGTAGAAATTCTGAGGCCATTTCTTTTCTGGTAAGGAGTCACATAAAGAGAGATGAGGTGCATTGAGTAATAAAAGTACTGAAATTTTCTCACTCAGACTTTTTACCTATTTCCAAACATGTCAACAAAAATAAGTAAAATTGTTAAAAAAAAAAAAACTAACTAAATACTATTCACATCAAGTGCCCTTATCACAAAAAGTACATTTTAAACAATTCATTTCATAAAATGTCACTTGCCTGTGGTGGTTTTAACCTTCTGAGTTATGGAGTAATTAAGGAGTAATAAATAAAAGAATTAAGATAAATGCCAAAACCACATGTTCAAGAAAATTTGATTGAGTTGCCTTTGCCCTTGCTTTATCATGTCAATATACCACCTTATTCCTGTGTCCAAGATAATTTGTCACAAATTAAAACCAAGCTAACAATAATGTCATCACTACTACTACTCCTGCTACCTGTCTCAAACAAACAAACAAAAAAATCCAAGAAAATTCTGGCACAATTCTAAGTCACGGTCAAGAGGATTGGTGACTTGCTGGAATGGGGGTACCGCTAAAATAACGCCAGGGACTAAAACCAGCCAGTTTTTCTGAAGCAAACAAGAGGGTCTTGGTTTGCTGTCAAAAACTACAAACTAAGCTTTAACTAGGGACTGTCAGGGATCCAAGTGAGCTCTTGGCCAGGGAAAGCTTAATTAGCAGAGTTGGTTTGGGTTTTTAAATTACAGAAGAAAAACAACCAATAC